CACACACACACACACACACACACACACACACACACACACACTGTGCTCTCCGCAAGTGTACCAATTTAAGTTGTTACTTTCTTCTTTAAAAGAAATACATAGTTGCATCTATGAAGAGAGTTCTAAGGGAGTTACTCCGACCAGTTTCCCTTAACAATGATAGAGCAGTGCTTTCATACAGGAAAACCATGCAAAAAGTCGATGATTCTATATGTTGGATTACTTTTTTTTTTTTTCAAATTAACCCATTGTACTTTTTCAGAGTCAAGAACACATTTTTTTTTAATGTGACTCTGTTTCAGCTGCTTCCGGTCCCAGCCTGGGGTCCACAGGTGGTCGGACAAGGATAAAAAGGGTAGTGAGTATCCAACTACAGTTCTTAATGCTCCCGGGATAAAATTTCTTATGAAAACTGGCAGCCTTTTTGTTCCTCTTCAGCCTTTTTAACACTCAGCCACGTCTCTCTGTTTAGCTGAGCCTGCTGTGGTCTCGACTGAACTGGACTAAATTTATGCCGCTGAAAACTCCCATTGAAGTACCTCTACGGCACAGTCGGTGAGAGCTGTGTATACATAAGCGCACAAGATCTTGGCCTGCCGAGTGTAATAGCATCTCTGCCCTTGGAGATTATGGGTATGATATGGGTGAGTGTAATGGATAGGGAAGTCTGTGTACAAATTTCAAATGACTTGCTACACCCCTTTCAGATGGTTGCTGTCAAAAGTATTAGCACATCACACACACAACAACAACAACTGTGTATCATATTACCGGTGGCCTCTGCTTCCCCCGAAAAGCTCCTCCCACTGCAGCAGGTGAGTGCATGGGGTACAGGGAGGTACCTATTGAACACATACAAAGGAGTTTCATTCGTTGAGCTCCACTGTACTTATGTAAAAATACCCAACCTGCCTAAATTAGCAAGGATGGGAGTTCAAGGAGAACTGCCTGTAAAAGATGTCTCGAGAAGACTGAAATTTCTAGCCCGATGAGAACTCGTAACACGCAGCTGTGAAGCATAGGGGCGAACCGTCCTGTCCTGCTATGGACTTACTCAGGAAAGACCAGTGTCTCAGCTTCACTGTTGGTGTTTACTGAAAAGGGCAAACTGCGCAGCGATGCCCATGTAGTAGATGACACTTAAAACAGTTTTTTCCAAGCATGGATTTTTAAGTGAGTCTTCCTTGGCCTAGAAATGCACAAAATGTAAGCGAGATGAAGAGCTACAAAAGACTAGCATTCTCATCTTTTTCATGTTATAAATACCTACCATTTGTTGCTCAGCCTGCTGGAGGCGCAGCTAGAGCAGAATGCAGTCTCTGAATTTGGACTAGACTTGCATGCAGGGCTCTTATGGTGTCCTCAGCTGAATAGAAACACAATAGCTTGGCCTTGGTAAAGATACTGGGTTTGGGACCAGGAATGTAGTTCAAAGTAGCAGAGTACTTGTCAAGCTTTTAGGTGGCCCTATTGGAATTCTGTCACAGAAAAAAACACCACCAAGGTGGCCTAATATACGAACATACACTTCTCTTTCCAAGACTACCTCTTTATTACTAGTTTGGTTTTTTTTTTTTTTATTTTCGTGTGTGTGGGTGTGTGTGTGTGTGTGTGTGTGTGTGTGTGTGTGTGTTCCCTTGCACAAGAGCCAAAGTACATGTGTGGAGGTCCAAAAACAACCCATGGGAGTCTGTTCTCTCCTTCCACCATGTTGGTCCCAGGGAGCAAACCAAGCTCATCAGGCCTTGCAGTAAACACTGTTATCTGCTGAGTCATTTCTCTGGCCCAGGATTTACTTATTTATTTTATAGCATATTGAATATCTGTTAGCATTAGAGACTACAAAGGTAATTAGATTACCTGCTGCTACCACTATGGAAATTATTCATTCAAAAGCTCAGCATGTTGACAGCAAATACATTTTTTTTTAATCTTTCAGAAGATAGTTATAAACATGACACTGTCCTCATGTTCAAGGTCCCATCTCAATTTATCATATCTTTATAATAAATAATGAACATCATGTCTCAGGCACTAACATTAAGTGTTCTATATATGTTAATTCATTTAATTATTTAAATAACTGTATAAGGTAGTTCTACCAGCATCTCCATTTTACAAATGAAGAAACTGAGTCACACACAAACTGAGATGCTCGCAGACATGGTGTATTGTCAAGCCCAGGATTTAAATCCAAGCAAATCTCACTTTGGAGACCATTTCTGTTAACCACTACTTAAGAGCTGACAGAACTAATATGCACTTATTTTTACCATAAAAGTTCTGGAAACTCCAGAAATCTTGTTTTGCTCCAAATTTAGTTTAGTAATTGAGCAAAACTATGGGGGGGGGGGTGGAATTAGTGTTAGTCAGTCTGTAAAGCAACAAAAGATGAGAGTGCTAGATTCAAGAAGCTCCCAAAAGTCCAAAGCAAACTGAAATTTAATGGGGATAAACATGAAACATTCTTAAAAGCATTAAATCCCCTGTACATGCCCAGGATGATTGGTATCTGACTCCAAGATGCGGCGGTTCTTCCCCATGAGGGGTTCTGTTTAAAGCCAGTAACAGGACACTGTTTGTGACAGTCACAGAAGTTCTGAGTATTTTGTTTGTTTCAAGAGATCTCTTAAGATACTCTGGCAAATCAGGCCAACTCAGGGAAGCCGTAGGCCTAGTCCTGAGGGGAGTAGGAAATGGATCCAGTAAAACAAAAGCAGTGGTTTTGAGGGCTGTGTTCATTATCTTTAAGTACCAAAAACTTTTTTCCTAGGGCTAAGCAACACTGATGCCTCTGAGGCCGGAATCCAACCCAGTGTGATTTCTGCTCCCATACACAATCAAAGTCATCAAAAAACAAACTTTTCTAAGAATGGTGGCTGTAGGACAGTATGCCTTCCCCTCTGTATTTCTAGTGGCTGTGGCCCAGGCCTTCACACATGTATGTTACCTGCTTAGAATTTGCAGTTCACAAACTCTCTTCATTTCTTTGAACAGCTGTCTATCTCCAGAACTCTGGCTTCCGCAGGAAGCTGAAGCTACATTCCCCCAAGCTTCGACCCACAGGTAGGTGTCCACACCTTCTTGATTCCATGATAGAACCTTAAATTCAAAGAAAAAAATTACTTAAAGATTGTCTGTTTAACAGGTAAAGGAATATCAGCATGCCAACTCACCATGTAGAGCTACATACAGATGCTCTCTGTAGTGTCACATGGAATTCCTCCCCATATCAGAACAGGTCCTTTGACAGAATCTTCCTCAGCATCACTATACAGCAACTTGGTCCTAACCTTGTTCTAGGAAATTGGTCTGGTCCCCAGTGGCCACCGTATCATTTAGCTGAGAGCTTACTATCATCTCTAAGTTAATTTGGAAGCTAATTGTGAAGGTCAGGGGCTCTGACATTGTAGAAAATGGTAAATTGTGGAGATAAGCCAGGATCTAAAAAATTCAACACTGAAGCAGTTGGGGTTTTGTAACCAGTTACGTGTTAAAGTGTGAATGGCTGGAGTGGCACTGTCTCTTAGTTGCCATCGGTGTCACTGGATGATGGGATCAAAATGCCTCTAAGCATCCACATCACGGGGTCAATCTAAGTTCTTTATCTTGGGATTCATTTTTATTATGTATATGCATGTGTGTCTGTGTGAGGATGCATGCTCATGTGTGCAAGTGCCTGAAGAGGCCCAAAGCATTTGAGACCAGACCTGGAGCTGGAGTTTCAGGTAGTTGAGCGAGTACTTCACAGGGGTGCTACTGTCCCTATCAGAGCAAAAAGCTCTCTTAGTTGCTAACCTCTCTCTCCAGGTAATCTTCTGAGTCTTTCTGGTGGATTTTAGAGAGCTGAGGATGAGGTCCACCAGAAAAAATATATCTAGCAAGCTTGACCATTTAACTTCAATTCCTTTATACAAAGCTGGGTGTGCACATCTGTAATCCAAGCACTCTTACAGGGAGATGGGCAGCAGAGGCAGGAGAACCCCCAGACATTGAGTTAGTGATGCACAAATGGAGTACAGAAACAAGAGAGATCCTGATTCAATGAGGTAGAAAGTGAGAACTAACACCAAGGTTTTCTCCAACTTCCCCGTGCACCCT